GCCGTCACAGAGACAAACAGAGTCTGTGCTGACAGCTGTGAGCAGCAGCACTTTGTGCACGTGTTTGTTTCACTGCCAGGAGAGAATTTTAAACGTGCTTCAAACACACAGTTTACTGCAACACTATAAATACATCAGCTGCTCAGCTTCGGTTATTACGTCGACAGTTTTCATGAACAGTCGGATGGCCTGTTGCTGTGAATTATGGGACGGTGTTATCTCCTCTCCTTTCCTCAAGGATGCTTCGGTGTGTCCTACTCTAAAGGAAGCACTGAGGCTCCTTTCCTTGGTGTTTGGGGAGGTGGAACAGCTGCGATCACGGTCACGTCTCTCAGTGAGGAACCTTCCAGAGAAACTTTCAGAATGCGCCCTTTATGTAGTCAAACACTCAACACTCAGCAGCAGAGGATTGTGGGTAATGTAATGAGTCTGTGTGTGCCCTGCTCCCATTGGCTGCCTGAGTCAGCTGACTGGAGCAAATGGAATCAGAGTTATAGGCCTTAGCGGCGGCAGCAGCCATTACAGCACTCAGAGGAAGTCCCGAGGGACGCTAATGGACTCGATTTCCTGAAACAGCCCAGCCTGAGAGTCTGAGCGCAGAGGTCGGAGGTCAGGGACAGCTCTGCATCCGTAGCGTCAATAATCACCCGACACGGCGAGGTCGATGACAAAGAGTCATATGTTAAAGGCCAGAGAAGAAGAAGCACAGCTGCGTTACACAAACAGGCACAGAAGAAGAAGCATTCCTGACAGGCACAGCTGTGGACACACCACGTCTATCCCCGTGGGGCCCTCCATGGGAGCAACAGGTGTGTGTCACCTGTCTGAGGCAGCAGCTGGCTCACGCCACGACGCTGCGCTGCCCAAGAAAGTGTCAAGAGCGTCTCCACATTTTAGCTCCTCCTCCTCTGACATGACGACAGAGGAGCGACGACCGAAAACCACAGAAGAGTCTCCAAACCGAGCGTCCGACTCAGTGCTGCCCCCAGTGGGCCTCGCAGGTGCAGCAGAGCCCAAAAACTCAGCCACCAACACGGAGACGCGCCGAGCAGCCGTGACAGCGCGTTTGTGATCAGTCGCCATTTATTAAAACTGATTTTATACGTAAGCTTCCTGCGTCTCCTCAGTGCTGAGGAGACGAAGGAGGAATCCCTCACCCGCTCAGGTCAGACGCAGATCACCGGGTGACGCACGGCGCCGCAGCGAGCTGAAGTCAAATCTCAGAACACTGAGGAGGCCACGCTTCACCTCACTGGCGTCTGCAGGTGTGTTTGTAAGCGAGCTCGCCGCTGCGCACGAGCAGGGAGGAGTTATTGGATTTACTCAGCACACAAACAGCCTCATTTCCTGGAGCGCCGACCCCGCCCGGCAACAGGAAACAGCTCGCCGCTCTCAGCAGGCGCACACAAACATCCATCAGACTCTGTGTCCGACACGCCGGGCTTTCTACGGCGAGAGTGAACAACACGCCGGAAGTCTCCACAGAGCTTCCTCGGGCAGGGAAGCCTTCACTGTGCAGAACCAGAACCAACCGGTTCTTTGGTTCGTGAGAACAGAACCACCAGAGAAGTTCCAGGAACCTCTGAGGAGCATCGCTGCAGTGTTATCAGTGAACTAACCAGAACCAGGAACGCCTCACCGACGGTTCTGTTTACGTTTGAAGACATTCCCTAAACGATCAGCTGATCGATCAGCAGAAAACAAACCACGTAAATATTTAAACCAGAACCCCGAGAACGCCATCCATCACTTCCTGTCTCATTAGTTGCACTTATAAAAGTTGCAGCCATTAGAACATTCAGGCAACATTCAGGGAAAGGAAGCGAGGCGTTACGGGAACACCGGGGGGGCTCCTGTCGTTTTAAATGAGTTCACATAAACACAGACGGCTCTAGTTTCTAAACCAGGACATTTTCCTTTATGGAGGAGCTTTCAGGGAACGTGGAGGTAACTCCAACCACGCAGGGACCTTAAAGAACATGTCCCACACAGATTCATGGGATGCTGGATCCCTGCAGTGTTGGGATGCTCCTGACGTCAGAAAAACATTCCCAAAACGTTCACACAACCACAAACTGCTGGTTCACTGGCTTCCTGTTAGAGGAGAACCTTTAGGGAACATTTCATGGACATGCCTATAAGGGAACTGTGACAAACGGTTTGGGAACGCTGGGATGAGAACCCAAGTGTTCCCATATGAGCCCTCAGATGATCTTTAATGTTCCGGTTTGGGTTGAAGGACGTGAAGGTTTGGGAAACGTTGTGTTTTATTTACATGTCCTGTGTGTGTGTGTGTGTGTGTGTGTGAGAGGCAAACACAAACAGAACCGGTCGCGCTGAGCGGAACCTGACGGGAACTCTGAGGAGCTGTGTCCGGTTCCTGGGCCTCCCAGTTTTCCAGCACTTTCTCCGGTCGCAGCGGCGGCTCTCGGCGGGCTCGGCCCCGCTGAAAGGAGCTGTTATTGTCCGGGACGCACACACTCCTCACCTCCTCCTCCTCCGCGGCCACGCCTGTTTGTCTCCTCTCATGGCGCACCGTTATTCTCATCCATCCTTACTAATGGCTGCTGGCGGGGACGAGCCGCGGACACGCGGGCGGAGGAGCACCGCGGCGCGGGCCGCGCGTCGGCGGGGAGCGGCTCCAGAGCCTCCGGGAGGGATCCCGGAGCCGCTCCCCGCCGACGCGGAGCGAAGTTATGGAGGAGCCGAGGCTCCGGAGCGCCTCTCTTCAATCACAGCCACAGTAGAGACACAATAGAGACAGTAGAGACCAGGACGCCGCTTACCTGCTCAGGGTCGGAGCGACACTCCAAACTTCAGCGGAGGTGAGGAAGAGTCTGCAGACCGGAGAGCACAGAGGAGGTGGCGGGGGCTGCTGCTCCTGCTGCTGCCGCAGGGGATGACGGGAAAGAATCCGCACTGCCCCCTCCCCTCCCCCCGCTCAGAGGGTTCGGGTCTGATTCTGGGCTTCGGGTCCGCCTGCAGAGCGCCCCCTGCAGGCCGCAGCGAGCAGCAGCAGCTTCAGTTGATCCGAGGCTCTTTATTCCACAG